TCCTCACAAGATCTATCATGTGCAGGCAGTGCGGAGAGGTCACACACGCTTTGTCTCTGAGACAATTCGCTCCAAAAAACGCATCCTTCACGCCGTCTAGCAGAGTACACCCTCAGAAGACCCCTGAAACATTTCGGAATATCTCTGTCTCATGGTTTGATTCACATATGCTCTTATGATCCTCCAAATGTCCTCAGTTGGGTTCAGGGATGGAGAATTTGGAGCAAGGCGCGGGAGACTGCCCGAACGGTACGACTGCTCTTGGAATACGCGTCCCAGATTCGCGTGGCATGGCGTATTACCCCATATCGGTAGTCAGCTCTCGACAAAATTACAACCGAGAGCATTCAACTGTCCATGCTACCACTGCGCCCACCTTTCTTTGTTGAAACTTCCTCTCTCTATGAAGCCATATTCGTCAGGGCTCCAATAAGATGCAGATTCTCTCCTCGAGTGTTGGACACTTCACACTTCACACAACTTCCACGCGAAGAACGGCCTCTGTTGCGAACGCAAAAGATATTAAAATTTCGTTCGTCAATTATACTGCTCGTCTCCCTACGACGTTCGATTGTAGAAGTACCAATACGTAGGATTTTCTTCACATTTTTTCTCCGGTGTTTGCATGGATTCCGGAACTGTGTAATTTTTTCATTGTTATCAGTCTCCCGTCGAAGTGTCGCGCTATTGTGCTAACGTTACCCTCAATCATGAACTCCGCTTTCAATTACGGGCGAAGTGATTGGTGAGTGACCGTGGGTTCCGATGATACCCTTTCTATCAGGAACTCACTGTGACCTTCTACTAACTAATGTTCATCAACATTGGTGCAACGCAGCCATCCTAATATTTACTTACCCAACAATTTCTATAATCTGCCATTTAGTTGAGTGCAAACCGTAGCTCCTAAGTGGCATTCGATCAGTCATCGTTGGAAACATATACATTGCTCCTGATACATCTGCATCGGCGTTAAAGCATTTTGAAGACCAACTTTCTTCAACGTTACTGTATTGTTGCTGGCGACTTCAATAGAAAGGATACAACATTTTTGAAGACGCTTGGCTTGGTAGACCTATTGACTGTTTCGGCCAGAGAAGATGCCCAGTTGGACGCTGTGTTCACAAATAAACGACAGTTGTTTACCATACGCAGGCGGGCTCCTTTGATCAGCTCAGACCACGGTATTTTAACACTGTGTCCAGTCGTATACAGCAGGTCTAATAGTTTAACACTGACTAGACTGCCTTACAAGATTATCGAACGGCGAAATAGCTCCTTGGAAAATATCACGAGACTCCAGACGATGTTGTCTTTAACTAATTTGTTCGTCTTCAACGACGAGTACCTATCGCTCGCATGTGACCATCTTACGGACTACATCGAATATTGCTTTGACATGTGTTGCCCTGTTGAAACAATCTAAGAGATAGATTTTCATCACCACTACTAAAGCGACCTCAAAGGATGAAACAATGAGCCTCCAAGTGCAAGAATGCTACCCGTGTCAAAAGCCTAACCAAGGCAATTAAATCCGAGACAAAAAGGCTAAAGCAATTATATGTCAAATCAGTTCTAGGCAACCTTAACTATCGCTATCTATGGAGGCTTCTGAAGCAGATTTGGTTAATAGCGTTTGTAGCCAGAGCGCATGTGAATATACTGAATTCTGAGTTTTGATTTTGCCTTGTGGGACCAAGTATATTGGACGGGCGACCAGGTATTTATGTAAGAGAATTAAGGAACATCTCCCAGGTTGTCTCTACAATCGCGATAATAGGACATACTACAGTGCGGTTACGAACCATATAATCAATACAGGCCACCAGATAAAGGAACAAAAATCCTTTCAGATTCTCTACAGAATACCAACAACGCGTAACTGTCGTTTAAGATCAAGCCTACTTGCCACCGCTGAGGCAGCAAGCATACGCTTGACAAACCCGGATTTGTGTGTCCAGAAGAAGATGATACGAGCACTACAACTTCCGTGGTCGCTCACCAGACAGGAAGGAAGTGATGGCACTCCGAAACTTCACCTGACTTCAGTGCTCAGAAGGCTTCCATTATGATCACAAGTTAAATTTTCTGATCAATAGTTACCTTGTTATACTGCCGATTGCAACAGACCTAACCCTAATGTACATTATTGTATGAGCCTGACGAGGAATTAAACGAAAATAAATGTTCGCTTAAAGCTTCGTGTTTTTTTTCTTTTTCCAAAAATCATAATCACAATTGCGTAGTAAAACGACCGTCCTGAAGCGGGGTTTTGGCATAGAAAAGCCAAAATACTACTGAGTGACACGGAGCAACAAAAATGATTTACTTGGGAGACCAGCAGTTACTCTCAGTTGTTCAGTAGTTCATTGGTGTGCGATGGGTTAAAAGTAGAAGCATTATAAGACACACAGTATGGAAAGTGATAATTAACAAAATATTTCAGTGTAAGGCGTAATTTGCTGGCACTAAATATTTGGCAGGTTGAAGTAATATTGCTTAGCATTTATTAACTGAAAGTCCAATAGACATTCGAATGTCACGTTTTTTGGTGCATTCCACACACATGCTGGTATTGCATTCTAATTAGACCAGTTTCTAAAGGAGAAAAAGAATTTGCTACAGTTTAAGCGGATGTGTTGTTCTACTATATTTTTATCTGTTTGCCTCAGCGTGGCTTGTAAGGAGCAACGGTCAGTAGTTACTCAGCTTGATGATTATTTTCCGTCAGTATTCGGTATGGAATACAGAGGTCTCTGCGAAGTAGTCAGTATTTTGCCAAGAACTATTGATTAAAAGCAGGCGCAGGTCTCAATATAAACAAGATAATCCAAGTGTTAATTTGGTAGCTCGTCTTTGGGGCTGCTTTATAGAATGGATGTCGCGGTTTATTCACAGACACCAGGATGGAATCGCATACTCAAAGTAGAAACGAACATACGTCTTGACAAATAGGGGTACTGACTGTCGTACAAAAGTACCAATAGCTCTGCGCAGAAGCCGTTAGTTCCAAGTTGCAGCATTTGCTGCTCTCAAAAATTAGAGCGAATATTAGAGACCTACTTGAATGGCAATACTTAAGTCTTTTCTACTAATTCCGTGCTGTGGAATGTTCTGCTCAAAAGTGCATACGTATTTGTAGTTGCTGCCTAGCGTCAGCAGGTGGCAATTTGTATTGTTCAAGTAAGGCTGATTCATTTCTGTCCATCCATTCATGCGGGGCACGTTGTTCTGGAGATAGGCATGGTCCGATGTTGAGCAGATAGCTTACGTGATCTTGGCATTGTCTGCAAATATTTGTACTGAAGCCGGAATATTTCCTGAGAGATAATTGGTATAGATTGAGACAGTACCCGGTCGAGGACAGATCCCGGGAAACGTGGAGGTGAGCAATGTTTGTCCCGACATTTCTTGCTATGATTGTTCTCCCGTGTGGGTAACATTCCAACCAGGTGAGAGCAGAGACTGGGTTATCCCTTAGCGATTAAACTTTTGAAGATGAACTGAATGATTGATATTGTCAAATGTTTTGGAAAAAGTAGGTTAATCACGTCTAGATGGGCCCCGTTATCAGCCGCCCGTGTTCATAAGTTACGAGCTAAAAGCAGAGTACTAAGACATGATCGTCTGTGTCTGAATTCATGTTGAAGATTGAAAAAGATCTGTAGATGCAAACTTCCAAGTCAGTTCATTTGCGCTTATCAACTCCATCACCTTTGATAAAACAGGAAGAAGAAGAATAATAGCTCGATATTTTCCAGAATCTACTCGTCTACCTAACACTCAAACGGGAGTACATGGGATGCAAGTAGATACCGAAAATGCCGCAAGGTACTGTTAGTGTGAGAGCGTGTTTTCAGAACCTTCGGACAAATCTTTACGACCATACAGCGACTGTATTTTTGAGGATGTGCAGTTTACTTATAACATCTGCTTGCGTCTACTGATGAAGCAGGGAAAGAAGAATCCATGGTTTTTGTAGCCACGGAATTTAAATTAGAAATAGGGCGTTTACATAATCCGCAGTAGTAGTCGGTAGGCCACTGTCCGTCTTTGGTGGCGGATTTGCAACATTTTTCCTTCTGCTATCGCTCCCACACTTGTAAAGCAATTTGGTATTGTTTGTAAATTTGAAGGCTATACGCTTTTCTTATTCGTACTTGACAGCATGGGTGAGCGACATGCAGTAGTCTATGATTTGTAGTTTCGATGTGATATCACATAGATTTTCTGCATGTGGTCTAAAATTCTCATTTATTCCGCTGATCCATATGTACGTTTTGCTTCGAATCTAGATGCTAGTTCAATGCAATGCTTGCAATGGCACAATTTTTGTGGCTACTTGGATTGCCTTGTTGAGTTTGCCGTTTAATTCCAAACCGTTAAGCTAGAGGTCCTAGCCAATGGGTTGCGCTGGGTTGTAAAGACTGATGGGGTCGGCAATATTGTGTCGGGCTCTTCGTCTTTTATCAAAATTTCTGGCGCAACACAGCCAACGTTAGGACTGAGTGACACATGCTACCTAGTGAGCGATCGTATGGAATTGCCGCAGTCATCATCTCCTCTGTGGTCAGGATTAAGTTAACAAGTGATAGCTTGTTTGAACCGAGATCTCTGCTTGGTCGATTCACATGGTTATCCTTAATCTCTATGTGCATAAGAGTTAATACAGTCCAACTTACTATGGCGGTCACCTGTCTATAGAGATCACCTGTCTATCGCGACAAACCAAAGACATCCCCAATCTTTTCTTTTATGAGTAATGTCCCTATGCATGTACCGGTCCGTGGCGACCACCTGTCCAAGCTGACCAATTTTGTCCGTCCTTGAGTGGTCGCCTTATACAGGTTTGACTGTACAATAAAGGCAGCTACGGTATTTGTACCGCATCTTTTAAGCATGAACTCTGTGGGTTTCAAACGTGCAATTAATAAAATTTATGATTAATTTACTACATCTAATGTATTCTTTATGATAAAATGCTATGGTACAAAATGCAATTAAGCGGGCAAACTCAATTCAAAAACGGGCTGCTTACCTGAATTTGATTTTTCTTCATTCACGGATTCAGTTGAGATATGCTTTGTTGAGGAAATATCTGTGAGGAGAGCAATCAGATATTTTGATAAGTAATTCTTTGACAACAAAGGACGTGCTTTTCTCTACACATTGTGGTACGCGTAACAATGATGAAGCAGATGATTCTCGCTGCGGTTGTGGTTGTACGCGGCGCCAATAAAATCAGACTCGAGGAGGCAGTTTTGAATAAAATATATTTAAACGATAGTTCTGAATACTTCAATGGCTGTTTCAGAATTGGTGTTGCTTTGATCCTCTGAGCTTGTGTATGATCGACTACACACTTGAGACCTGCGTAACTTAATACTTTTTACGCATGGGTTGCGTTGGATTTATATAACTACATCAGTTCATTTATTGTATTATCAAGATCAACTATGAAAACTCAGGCAGCTTTGTAACCTAGTCTAACACAACGATTATTGTTGACTTAGATGTAATATAGTCTACTTACCTTAGCCATCCGTAGCTAAACGTTAAGTATCCACTCTACATCTTGCACCCGCTTCCACCATTATCCAGCTACATACATCAAGTGCGTAGCTGTTGGACGAACTGTCGTTACAAAAAGATATTTGCATTTTCTGTCTATCAGTATATGTTTGATGGACAATTAAAGTATAGCCGATAAACGAGAAAATACCGTATTTTCTGCTATTGAGCACTTCGCCACCCACCCTACAATGTACTGTATAATCTCCGAAGTTGATCACCGTTTTCTGACCACTTCTGTAAGTTAATCGCCTTTTTGGCTTAATCATTCACCATGTATGCATTAAAGAACTGGATTTCTGCATGTTGACCAACTCTGCAAGTTGATGTTGATAACTTACATCATAAAAGGCGACAATAAGTTAACATCTGTACTTTGGTCATGTAGTTTTACTGCGCGATAGTCGCCGAACAGCATGTTGTAATGTGCGAAATTATTCTGACTCACAATTATTACACGTAGAGTTACGCGGACGTTTGACGATACAGCTTGTATTCTGTTTGTGTATGTGCAGGCGTAATCTTGATCCATCCCTCAGTGTTCACGCGTATCGGTGTTTTACTCCTACATACAGTCCCCACAAATCCGCGTCCACAAATGGACCTCAACCGCTTTTGTGTACTATCGCTCCTCACACAAGAACACATCATACCCTTTGGAACGTGTGCTTGCTCATGGCACATTCTTTGCGCTCATTGTATTCATTTCATATTTCTCTGCCGTGTATAGTAGTGCATGACTGAGCCCACCCGCCACTTCCTCACTGAACGAGCAATGGACCACGATCTTACAACTATATAGCCGTCTCGATTATACCCTACTCCAGCAACCCACCCGGAGACTTATACCTGCCAAACATGCAACGCTTACTTTTCTACTGCTGCTAGTCTTACTCGACAGTGGTTTCCACGATAAAATTCTTCCAGATGAGTACTCGTTCACCTTTGTACTGTATGCTCGTCTGTTTTCATCCGCACGCGCTCTTACACATCCCAACCGCCGTACACATAATTCAGACTACAAAGTTATGAAGAACTCACAGACATCAAACACCAATCCAATGGTCTGTCGAAGAAGACTGTCTACTCTTACCATAATCCACCAAGCTGAGCTCTTCCATGGCGTTTCTGAAGCAACTTCACTCAGAACTAAAAAACTACTTGCACACTTGTAGCCATCAAGAAGTGGTTCCAACACTTTGACTGGAAAGGCCCAAAAGACAACGGTCACCATCTGCGATTCAAACTTTCGACCACGAATGACAACCGGCCGAATACTATCTACTTGGTGGCAAATTGAACGCCGTCTGAATCACTGCTGTTTAGAAGTATTTACGGAGTATCGCCCGAATTGGACCGTAGTAGCCAAGAGGAAGAACCAACCGACCCAATGTGTCCATTCTACTGCAGCCGAATCGTACCCCAAATGGTTACAGAGGACAGACCGATAGATGGCGGTCCATTTAGCAAAGCCTCCGTCGCAACCAAGATTACACAGGCTAACACTGCCCAGAATCAGCCGAACACCAGAAAATAGCTGCCGGTATGTAGTCCCCTCCACACCCGGGTAACAAACCACACATTTCTAGACCCATCACTAACCCTACATTAAAGCTTTTCAAAAAACGCCTTGATGAAACGCTTTCCAACTTGCATTACTTGATATACTCCGTTCCACTTGGAGGACGAAACAACGCAAACCAAACCATGTGCTTAACAACCCTCTTCGCAACACGTGGCGGTGAGGATACATGTAGTAGTGTTCATATAATTAGCCTGGATGTAACTAAACTGGATCAACCTATCACATCTGTCAAATGAAGAAACAAACACATAAGCTTTGTCGTTTCCTTTCTTATTTCTCACGCACTTACTTAACTTTAACAGCTCTCTATATTATTTTTTGTGTGCACTTCCCACTCCCACTTAAAATTATCGTTATGCAGTATTGTATTTAACTCGTTAGACGCTGGAAATAACGATTTACTTAATCGATGATCCTTCAAATTTTAATTTTTACTCCATCCATCCTACAGGACTTGCCAAGCACATGCTATTCTACCTGTGATAAATCACTGTTGATTGTTCATTGTATCGTGTCCTATGGAACAGCCCGCGGAGTGAGTCTGCGCCTGTCTCCCTACGCCTCCTTGTATGAATCGATAGGGCAGCGGACCTGCTGGTTCTGATGCCCAGCAAACCAACCAGTCGGCTTCTGCCATTTCCAATTCCAGCCTCCTTGACCGCAAGCTCAGTAACTCCCAGCCTCACAGCGTCTACCATGAAGTGCCAAACCTACATATGGCAACATTACTTCCAGGACCAATGAGTTCGTTTCCGCATTCGCCTACTATCGGATTAACCCAAAACCCGCTGACACCGACAGACCAAGTTTCTACCTCATCAACATCCGGCCGTGGGACGTCCTCAATGTCCGTCAGATAGGGCGCAAAACACTCTGTCAGCATCACTTGCTTCACGGCAAATCAATAGCTACCAATTTGACCTTTATCCATGAAGTTTCCCTAATAGACTAGGCCCTACAAGACATCTCTGAGCACACCAGTGAAATCCGACTGTGTTTGTAGGGGAAATGTTTAGCGATAACAACCATGGATAAAAGTCGCATCTGTAGAAGAATGTATAGGGTACGACGAGGCCTTACGCAACATCATGGACTTCGCTTCCCTACCGAATACAATGCGGAATGCATTAGTCGTCTGTCTGCCCACCCGTTTAAGTAGGCGGTTCCGGAGGACGCATCTCTGCTTAATAACGCCGATGTTCTCAGTTCGAATGTCAATTCTCTCAATGACTTAATCAATCGCTTACAACAGTACTTCCTCGTCTGATATGCGGAGATTAGTAGAAGACGTTGTGAGTTCTGCGCTAGAAGCTCAATGAGACTGGAGCTCCGACTAGAGCGCAAAAAGTACCTAGCTCGGATAATGTTACCTTCATAACCGCTGGACAAGGCGCCTTATACCATGACTATCAGAAGCCCAGACGGGTTAACCCATCGCCAACATTGTCGGTATCATTATCATCCGGGAACCTTGCAACCCATTTCCGTTAGGAACACAACGTTGAATACGTCGCGCCCAGCACAAGCTCACACGAGCACGACTCCAGGAATACAGTCACACGTCAATACACACTAGAATCGCATTAACTTTGCAATCTCACGAGGAATCTACCACGCATGCCATGGATAACAAACATGTCTCCGCATCCAAATAATTCATACTGTTCCCACACCTACTCCGCTATATATACAGATTTAACCCAAGCACGGATCACGGAGCTTGGAAACCGGTTAGGAGACACTCACACTTACCGCTCCCGACAAGAATTCAGTACGCTTTTCGATAGTCTTTGTCAGACCTTGGGTTTACCTACTTGGAAATCATCTAAAGTTCTCAACCATACCAAAAGCTTCAGAACAGTAAACAACGACGTAGACTCCAGTTCGGTCATATCCAACGTCTTTAACATCTTAGGCGTCGGGACTCGGAGACAACGGTGCTCGATGGCAGATGGCGGACCTCCTAGCTAGAAGAAAGGATCAAATCCCTGGCTAGGTCGAATTATAGAGAAGGGTATTCTCACAGCCAACGGCGCCTGACCAATGATCCCATGCATGATCACCCCGCCCAAGCTGGATCTTTTTGAAGCCATCTCCGTACCTGAGTTTCGTTCATCACTGCGCCAGACGATTGGCTCAGCGCCTGACGTCGACCGCAGCAAACCGGAAGTTACTGAACGCATGGATCCCCACTTTGTTACATCTTTTCTGAACTGAGTTCTTGCCCCTTACCCATACCCCTCATCATTTCAGGTGGCTAGAATTACCTCCATCCCAAAGATCCCAAAAATTTCTGCCGAATATCTGTGACCTCTGTTTTCACTCTCCTTTTGCACCATATGCTTTCTGGGCGCTGGACCTCATTCTTTCGATCCGACCGTCTGAAATTCGGTTTTCCCCGGAAAGACGGATGCTTTGAGGTTTCACACATTCTTCATTCTATGATTTGTTCCTCTCACTCCCACAGCTTGTCCTTCTCTTGCCTCTGGGGACATTTCAAAAGACTCACACACACACACACACACACTCACACGACTCGCTAATTAGAGCTGCATCTACTTTTGTGCCCCTAACATTTTTATTGTTTACCTGTTTTCATACTATCCCTCGGCGATCTCGACGTTCCGGGAAGTGCTAATTTACCCAGAGCGAGGCTCTAGACAACGGGACCCACTTTCGCCACTACTTTACAGCATCACTAGACGACGCTCTTCAAAAGTCTGCCTTATGTTGCTGGATGTACGCCGCAGGCCCGGTCGATTTTATTGCGTACGCAGACAACGTGATCATCGCAGTGGAAAAGAAAGATGCACTACAGGATCAAATCCTGACTTTTCACGACGACCTCCATCTTATCGGCCTTTCTGTAAACCGAATGAAAACGAAGACCGTAAATACCGCCATCGACAGATCCAGGAAGAAAACGTTATTGGACCCTTCAG